TTGTCACTGTGTTCACTGTTGTCGCCGTTGTCACCGTTGTCGTTGTTGTCACCGTTGTCGTTGTTGTCACCGTTGTCGCTGTTGTCACTGTCACCAGGGTTGTTGCTGTTGTCACTGTTGTGAATGTTTTTTCTGTGGTCACTGTTGTCACTGTTGTCCGTGATGGCACTGTTTTTGCTGTTGTCACTGTTGTCGCTGTTGTCTCTGTTGTCGCTGTTGTCGTTGTTGTCATTGTTGTCGCTGTTGTTACTGTTGTAGCTGTTGACACTGTTGTCACCGTTGTTGCTGTTGTCACTGTGGTGGCTGTGGTCCCCTTGTCTCTGTTGTCACTGTTGTCGCTGTTGTAACTATTGTCACTGGTGAGGCCGTTTTTATTGTTGTGACTGTTATCGCCGTTGGTACTGTTGTTATTGTTGTCGCTCTTTTTGCTACTTTACCTATTTTCACTGTTGTTTCTGTTGACACTGTTTTTACAGTTGTCACTGTTGTCCTTGTTGTTTCTGTTGACACTGTTGACTCTGTTTTTATTGTTGTCACTGTTGGTGCTGTCACAGTTGTCACTCTGGTCATTGTTGTCACTGTTGACACTGTTGTCAGTGTTGTCGCTGTTAACACTGTTGTCGCTGATGTTGTGGTTTTTACTGTTGTCGTTGTTATCACTGTTGTCATCGGTTTCACTGTTTTGACTGTTGTCGCTGTTGTCACTGTAGTGTTTGTTGTCGCTGTTGTTGCTGTTGTCAATGTTTTCACTGTAGTTCTTGTTGTCACTGTTTTTGCGGTCGTCAGTGTTGTCACTTTTGTCGCTGTTGCCACTGTTTTCACTGTAGTCACTGAGTAATATTGAAGTCACCAACAGATTAGTTTATACTAGTACAAACTTTTAAGCTTTGAGTTTGGTTGGAAAAGGTTAGTAATGAAATATGGAAAAATAGCTGCTTTCCATAAGTCAAATGCAGCTAGTTATTTTTTCCAGACAGCAGTGGTGTGTGAGAAAAGCAAAATTGTCCAATTACTTTTATAAAACACAAACACTCATCTCTCTTTTTCATGCAAAAAATAAAACAAAACAAAACAGAAACGCCTTACTTGCCCTCACAAGCAAAAAAGCCCTGCACTTCTTTACAAGTACTAAAGAGGAACAACCCTTTGCAGAAAAGCGATTCTCCTTTAGTGCATTCAAAGCCACTATCCCTCTCCCTTAAAAAGTAATAGTCCAGGGGGTCAATTTAATAAACCTTTTAATTGCAAGTCTAACTATGTTTTCAGACTCTAAAAAAACAATGGCTACACATGTAAACTGCATCTACAATAATGTAAAAGTTTTATTTAATTGACCTTATAAGGTGAAGGATACAATAACCTTTTTTCCTCATAGTTAAACATAGTGGTCATTTGTACAGGACCCGTGCACTTGTAGTTGGTATTCATACATGATTCTGACTATATTGATTGGGGTTATTACTGTTAAGCACTTAAAATAGTGATTCCCTGACCATACTGATTAGGGTTAAGCACTGACTGGACGGTAAGCTTCTTAGGGTTTGGATGTTGCTATAGAGTGGTTTTCGTTTGAGTGTCGTAAAACCAAAACCAAAGTAATTACTCTGGCCAATCACATAGGACACAGACAATACATTGAACCAATCAAAACTCGAAGTAATTACATGTGGCTGACGCAAAGCGCGGGAAAATGCATGCGAGCGCGTCACAATTGGCTTTGGTTTTACTTCTGATTGGATGAAAAGGTGGCGCGAATCTTTTAAGCCAATCGCATCGTGTAGAAAGTGCAAAACCAATTACTTTTCGACACTCAAATGAAAACCG